CCTTCTATCAGCTAAAAGACAGTCACATTTACGAGACCTCATCGTTTGATGTTGCCATATTCAAGGGCAAAATTACTGGCCGTGTCCCGCTGGTTTGTAGGCGGAGCGTTCGCTTTCTATTTTAATACAGTTACACTTAAAAATGCAAATCATCTTTAGACGACACACTCACCGCTGATCGTTTTAAGTTTTTTCATTGTAGCTAGTTGTTCTCGAGGTCTTTTTAGTACGAGAAGACTCAATGTAACTCATTTTTGCGGCGTTGAGCAAGGCAAGATGTTGGCATAGCTGAAGCACAGTTTCCTCAGCTATGCTACATGAGGCCATGCACAGCGACCAGCAAACACTTGTGCTTCATTTAGATTCACTTTTTCTTACCACTTTTTTCATTTTAGTGATCGATCAACACTGCGTGATTCATCATAAAATGTAAAATTTGCGACGAATTTCGTGACACTAGGAAAGGATACTATTCCGTTTTGAAAAGTAAAACCTGGCCAATGAAAGAAAAAACTCAAAGAAGGAAAGAAACATAAACATCTTCCTAAATTCATCACCTTAAAGTTTCGTGTCAAACACCGGAATTTAATGACTTATCGTAAAAGACACCGATCAGTAATCGTTACAATATGTGCTAAGAGCTAAGAGTTAATGGTCATGAAATACACTGCAGGTCGCAGGTGTATTTCTTCTTTAAACCTTAGCGTTGTCACAATAGACTATTTCTCATAAGGAAAAGAATCTTACTCCGTTTCCAAACGTTTATTAAATTTTCCACAATAAGAGTTAAGAAAGGAATGACCTCATTACTTAGAAGAGTTCAAAAGAGAACAAGCTGAAGCTGAAGAGTGTAAGGAGCATTCGTACTTAATATGTCACTAGATTACCGTTGGTGTTTGGCGGACCAAATTTTATCGAGGCCATATTTGTCGATAAGTGCACTCGGTATGAAAAGCAGCAGCGCACCAGTCTACAATCATACCACTGATGTGTTGTTGAACACTTGGAATTGTAGTGTGTATAAAATAGATTTTTTCCGCTGAATCACACCTATCATCCCACCAACGTGAAGAGAAAACTATCGATTAGCTACGAAGGAAATTGGTAGAGCAAAAAAAATTGTGTTTAAAAGTTGAAAATGCAAGCCTTAGAGCAAATAAAAGTGAAAAAAAATGGTTTCATGGGCTCTGGAAAGCCAGAATTTTGCCACAGTAGCAGTAGATCAGGAGAATATGCATATGTCTGTGGATTCTAGCAGCTTTTACCGCAATTAATAAAGTTTAATGTAAGCTTAGATATCTCGATAAGGAAGTGGACGACGGCCATTATTTTTCGATCATACGCCAAGTACTGACAGAACAAAATACTTTACGATTTTTCTAGAGTTCTGGTTTCTGAACACCTTGTAAAACAATCAATACAGTAATGGTATCTAAAGCTCTTTTTCTCTTTAGAACAATAGTTTTCATGCACGGAAATGATGTCCTATACTGGACTGAAAGGGCGACTGGAGTGCTATTCATTTCATTTCAACGGAGTTTAGGTCATCCCTACACAAATAGTTATACAATCCGCTTTGCATTTTCTTCCAGAAAACTTTGGTTTTCAGCAAGATGTATGATATTTTGTATTAAGCTGTCCCTCCTATCCATTTCTCGGCTCCTCTTATTTTATTCCATCTTTCATGTCAACTTTATCACATAAAAGGACAAAGCTCTCGACGTCGATCAATTTCTGAGGTATGCGTCATGCATTCGCCTTCACTAAGCACAGTTAGAGGTGACTGAATGCATATATGGCCCATGCCGGCGGCCTACCGATGTATCGAGCCTAGTGTTGCGGTCCTCTGAGACAGGTCTGGCACCAATCTGCAGACCCCGGAAGGATGAAAGGCTTAGTGAGCCTGGGGTGCGGGATCGATTCCGTGTTTATTGTGGTAGGCGCCTCTAATCACTGGGCTGCACGCAGCCTCTTTACAAGACAAATATATAGTGATAATGACACCAGTTTGAGTTTTCTCATGAATCTACGATGTAATAAAAACTATCAGTTATCATGAGATGTTAAGCCATTTTATCTGTACCCTATTAACAACGCACGAACGCATTTCTTTTAGTGCAATCTTGCCTTCAAATAGACTTCACTTAAGACATGAAATGTGGTTTGATTTTCTTTATTCTAATTTGGAAGTGGCTTCAATAAAAGAGATACCATGCAAGGACTCGGGCCGATTATCCAACTGAATAAACTTCTACGAACGTTGAAGCTGGCTTATACGAATCCACTCATCTTTCTGATTGTGTCATCAATGCTATACCTATCGCAATGCTCTCAAAACTCTAGTTAACTCTTGTAGAAAGCAAATCAGTTAGAGGACGGTCATCATTATCGGCATTACCGTTTTGAACATTGTTTGAACGAATTCTACAAATTGGTAGTAGTTGTGTTGCATATTCCCCCTACTTTAGATAAAACAGGTATTTAAATGTAACATGATCTGCTTGTCAGTAGTTTCTTAGATTACGAAGCTAGCCATAATAACCTGCTTTTGGCTGTTATTTACTCATTGAGAATGGACTCGCTTCTGTGTTATCCGTCAAGAAAACAGATCTGCACTCGAAGAAGGTACCGACTCATTCTTTTGGTGATGGCAGCTGTTTATTAGAAATTGTTAAATAAGGATCGGATCAGCACTTTAAAATTGAATAAAGACATGCTAATGTCGTTGGAAAAACTACCTCGTTACAACGCGAGAGCAACAAGTACAACGAGGGCAACAACAATGACAACACTAGACCAGTATCAAATAACCCAAAGTTAAGAACCTCAAGGTGAATCCATGATGGGTGCTGAAGGAAGTTTACTCATCTCTTGAGTTCTGGTACTGCTCAACCTTTCGCTAACTTTCCATTTCTGTGATGACTGTAGAAACAACGTCGATGTCATCACCTGTGGTTTCCGTGCTCCGGAAGCAAGTGATCCATTCTTCATCAGAAGGATTTTGGTGTTTCACCACAAAAATCATAAAACATTAAGGTGGCAAATAGTTGACTTTTGGTGAGAAAGTTGATATATTATCTTTATGTTGCATAACTCGTCTTTAATCTACGGTTAGGATACCAGCAATTCTGCATTCGATTCGTTTCCTTGTAATCATCATTCACGGAGTTATTACACGTGCAGTTTCGGTTACTGTTTGATGATTTGGCCTTATTTGTAAATGACTTTGATTGTTCATCAAGGATTGTCCTTCTTCATCCTTCCCGCCATCCTGCGGTAGACGATCTAAGGCGTTCTAATTGGAAAGTGTGGAATCTAGAACTCGACCACGTTTCTGTACTTTGGGAGGTTACAATGATGTCGCTACACTATCGGTGCTCGACCGCGCTTTTTGTGTTTAGTCCTAGATCATGTCTAATGCGTTGTTAGCTTTGAAATAGGCAAAACATTGAGCCGCGCAATACTTTGTTGTACTGCAAAAGGTGCGGCGCCATCCGGGAGTTGAACTCGAACCTGTACCTTGGAGGGGTACAATGATACCGTTACACTATTAGTGCTTCGCAGCGTTGTTGCTGTCTCGTTTTAGAGATGGCCATAGACAAGTTTGCTACTATTTTCCCAAACCCCGGAGGGATGAGCGCTATGGTGAACCCCGGGCGAGGCCGAGCCACTACCGTGTTCGTGATGATCGGTGTCGTTACCATCGCACCACCCGTCCTTGGTGGAAAAGTGTAAACAGGTTAGCCTTAATTTGCTTCCACCGTTGTTTCAGAAAATCTCACTTCAATATTTCATGCTAATGCTTCGTATCTATTATCTACCTATATTTTAATACATGTTATTTGCCTTTTATCACTGGAACCTCCTCGGTCATTTCTATTCCAAACTGCTTAAATTTGAGTGGAATACTCTTCTTGAAATCGAATAATAACGTTCGGCTGAAAACATTGAAAGATTAGGGAACGGCTTTATTTTCTGAAACGTACAATAATATGAAGACTGGGATCGTTCATGCACAAAGTAGAACAGTACATAGAGAATTATTTGAGTAACGTTGGATTTTCTATAGTTCTAGAAAAAATGGCAATGAGAAGAAGGAAAAGCAAGGCAATTTAATGCAGCTATACACATTGAGCAAATAGTCATAGGCGGATAGACGCAGCAGACGCAACATTGACAAGGAAGCGTTACTTGTCGGTCTAAACAGTAAAGTTACTTCTTCCGAAACAAACGAAAAAGAAATTCAATTGATGAACATGTCGGACATGCAGCAAAAGCTGGCGCATAATAATTCAAAAGATCGACTTTCTATAAACCTTGGCATAAATAGTTGATATATTGATTTATACGATCTTATGAACTGATTTTGTTGAGCTGATGCGAGGTTGGTATAAGTTTTCGTTGTCGTTGTCGTAGTTGCTGTTGCTGGGGTTGTTGGCTGATGTCTCGTTCTGTTAGCAATAGGATTCCTAGTGGAGTGAAGGCTCTAAGAAAGGCGAAATCGCCGAAACGTCAGCCATCAACCAGCAACAACAAATACGGCAACGACAACAACAATAACAACGACAACGAAAACTTATACCAACCTCGCATCAGCTCACCAAGGTCAGATAAGATCATATAAATATGTCGCATAATAAATTCTACAGCTAAAAATATGAATACAACTATCGATTTCTATGGTAATTTGAAGTATTGATTGATTTCATTTCCTGAATGTTGTAAGATACATAACATATTTAGCATTACTGTCACCATTTTCTTGAAAAAATTCGAAGGAAACATTCCATTAAAGACGTAACAAATTCAGTAATTTGATGGAAGAATTTAATCACCGGGGAAGTACATAGGTGAATTTGGGTTATTTGCTTTACTTATATGCCTACTAAATCAATGAGAGAAGTACCAAGAAACATCGATAATCGAAAAGTCATCAAACGAGGAAGCATATGAGACAGAAAATGAACAGTGACTGCTTAAAACACCTATGAAGATTTGGGTTACGGTATATAGGCATACTGTGTGCGATTGACACCATTACGGCATTCATACTCCCAAATGCGTTTCTCATTCAAATCAACCACTCGCATACCTTCAACAAATCGAACCTGAAATACTATTCGGTTTGAGTCAGTAGCAATCCGGTAAACTTTTGCCAACGTTTTTCTTTCTTGATGGTGTAGCTTTCTATTAATACTTTCCAGAAGTAACCACTACAGTAGAAAGCCACTGTCTTTGTAAAGTAAACGACTAAAGCAACCTTTCAACGAATATAGCGGACACTGATAGAAGACATAAAAATTTCTCGTTATAGAGTTGGAAACGAACGATGATAGGTCAGTTCATTGATAACCTTATAACAAACGTATCACGATGTACAGTGCGTGCTCTCCACTACACTGAGTTTTTGAGACTTATTTTTACTTTAACAGCAGGTGATTGCTTATTCTTACTTTAACGACGGGTGATTGCTGATGGATTGAGCGATAGAACTAGCTGAGAGACAGACGAAATGAAGGACCCTCATGGTATGGTGGTGAACGCGTTAACCCCGGAAAGGGTAATAGCGCATTCGTTTCCAAGCCGCAAACACCCGCTGTCCAGAGTTTTACAAATATCTTAGCATCATTATGGTTGAGTCACACATAATAACATAACGTGAAAAATTGTAATAGGCAGTAAATAAAAAAGCTAATATTATTTTTAACTTATTTTTTAACAAGGTGCTTATGATCTTCTCAAGAATCGCATATCACGTGAAGAGCCTACGAGGTTATTCTTATGCTACTAAAAGCCTCTCTTCATTGTGTTAGATTGTTATAAGGAAAACGTCGGCTGTTTCTCTTCAATAAAGTTTTATACCTATACGCTCATGCTACGTGTTATGTAGAACACAAACTTCTCTCTCTCTCTCTCTCAAGATTTTGACACCGGTGTTCTTGTTTTCACTCCAGGTTCTGTAATAACTAAATCTCATTGGAACGAAAAAGAAAAAGGCAAATGCTCACTATTTTTTGCACAAATTCGTAGAAACAACGACAACACCAAAGCCTGATTTAACCAGACAGCCGTCAAATAACGGGCGATGTAACGTCTCTTCATAGATTTTCTGATGGAAATACGGACTTCGAAGATGATACCTCAGCCGACCCTGAGACGTTGTTCATTCGAAAAAACTAACTGAAGCAGCTTCAAGTGCAAAGTGGTTCAAGAGTTGATAAAAGGTTTATGTAGATGACGGTCTCCCAGCAACCGAAATGAATAGTCTTGAAACTCAACATGTGGATGAGATGCACAAGGAAATCGCTCCGCTAGCAGATCGTAATGTGAGGTGATGTTAGACGTGTTTGCAGCTAACGTCACCCATCTGCATATTGAGATGAGAACTATTTCAAGACTACGGAATGGCCATCGTTGACATGACTATACGCGAGGAGGATATGACGACGGTTGCGCGGAAAAGCAGCGCATGGAAATTGCACTGGGCCTTGCAGTACCATTAAAGACGAGCAATTCAATTATCCGCAAGCAAGCAAGTACTGTTAGAAGACGACTAAAAGTGGATTTTCTACGGCACTCGTTGCTATTTCGTGTATTGTTGAAGAAATACAAAGCGTTTAAGCTTTTCTGATGGTTATATTAACATCAAATCATTTTAGAAGGTAAAATTGGTGGTCAATAGGGAAAGTTTTCTACTCTAACACCTTAAGTGATAAAATCGTAACAATGCTTTATGCAAGGTCTTCGTTGTTCAAAATCATTTTAACATGACAATAACATGACAACCTTTCCACAAAAGAATTCCATTATGCTCAGCATGATTCTACATTAATTCCTGTTACTTCTCTTCTTGTAACCATCGTCCCATATTTACATTATCTTGTACACGTTTGAAAAACAAACTTAATGACAGTATGATGCCAGAATTTATATGAAGTCAAAGCCAAATTTTTAAAAGTAGTGGAAGAAATGACGAAAATAGTTCTAATACGGATCTTATGTTTGTAGATATAAAACTATGTCGATGATAAAAAATTTATTACCGAAGATCTAAGCAACTTCACTAAAAGCTGGATGTTTAAGCCCAGCTGGAATTCTTTTCCACTATCAGATCGGTCGCGTTGCGTTCGTGCAAGCGAAGACGAACTGCTGCTTCTTGGGCAAGCCGTCATTTGTGAACGAAAGCAGAGAAGTAAGTGGCAACTACCACAAAAGTTTTCCGGTGTGGATAAGTTTGAAGACTAGTTTGAAAAATTTGAAGATAATTTCTTTCAAAAGTATTAAAACCATCAATAAAAAACGGACAGTTATTTTTTGCTAAGAGGAAATAATGGCGTTAAAGCAGATTTCACCCTGATACTTATGCAAACTCTTTGCCACAAAAAAATCAACTAAAATTTAGGTACCCTCGATCTTTTCATAGTAACATAAAGCCTAATGGACATGTTGGAAAGAATTTTCTGCATATATACCTTCAACGTAAGAGTAACTTGAAGGATGAGAAATTAGAAAAATTGAATGAAGACAGAAGAAAAAGCATGGGAAAAGGTTGGATACGGTAGTGTGATCGTCTTTCTCTAGTTCCGTAATTTAATACTCTCCTTATGCCAAATAACGCAGTCATTGAGAAAGAAAAAGGGTGTTAAGCAAGTATTACCACAATTTATACGAATTTATATCACAAACGAAGCATTAGGGGAAATGTAGTGGCTGGGAATGCCGCGCAATACACGTGGTTTTTGGTTTGATCCCGCACTCAGGGCACAGAAACCACTCCATCGCACTGAGGTCGGCCGGATAAATGTAGAAAATGGAGCATCGACAAACTCTCACAAGTTATTATGCTGGTCAAATATGTATTCAATAGCCTCTAACCGTGCTAGGAACTGAATCAGATGCATCCCACAAGAAGTGGGTCAGTGCTGAACTCACCTCCTCAAGGAGTTTACGTCAGTGTATGAACATGCCATACTAACCTCTAATTTGATTCCTGAATAGTCAACGTTGGTGTTTGGATAGCACAATTCATGCACTGTCTTCCAGTATCGAGTAGCTAATTTCATGTTACAGCATGCATCCTGAAAATTCTATGAATTACTTTGGTATGAAAAACGTAAATCTATGAAAAAATTCAAACAACCAATAAAGAAATATGATGCGATTTTGTTATAGTATACCTCGTTCACGAAGTGCTCATAACAGCACTTGTTGAAGTCACTGGTACTTGACGGTCCAAGTGATTGGCTATCATCTTCACAACAACGATAACGAGCCTAAGACTCCAGTAGAAAAATATGTCTGTATTATATGTGAATATGTATGTTATATAATATAATATATATAATATAATAATATATTCATCGATTGCAAAAAAGAGCGTTGTGGCAAAATAAAGGACGATGAAGGAAATGCATTTTTCTCAATGCGTTTGGTCCACCATGCACCCTCATGCATCCAATGAATTTAATGCATCTTGGGCATTATTTTTACAACAATCTGTAGCATATTTAATTTTAGCTACACACTCTAATAGCAATAAAAAGCACATAACCAATAGCAATTAACTTAACGATCGGTGTAATAAGAAATGGAAAGGGAAGCAAGGGAATATCGGGTGAAACCACTTTGAAACCTTTTTTAAACACTTTCTTAATAGAGGAGTCGACCACCCGAGGTAAAAGCTTATTCTTTCTCGAACGAACGGCAAGGTTTACTTATATTTATTGTCTAATTCTACTTTTCATGGCTGGGTATAACGTGAATCTGATCCAGCCTGGGGTCCAAGTTTTGCACATATCTGAGCCTCATTGTGGTTTTTCACAAACAATATTTTCTTGCTGATGGCTTTCACTTGTTTTAGGTTTGTCATCAATGTCAGTGCTGCTAATGGAAGGAGCGCTCCGTACCTGTAGAAATTTCTGGAAGCAACATAACTGCACTGTGTGATTCGAGCATTTTCCTGACAGGCACACATCAGTGAGATAGATACCCTTCTTACAGCATTTCGACAAACCTGCACGACCAAATTTCTCCTGCTGGAAAGATTGTGTGAAAGTCACCAAAAGCAATGACTGCAGAAAATTCACTCACATTGGAAAAAAATGTAGAAAAAGTAGAGTAATCTAAAAGAGATAACGGAATTCTAGAAGGTGCGATAGGAATGCTATGGATTGTAACGAGTGGTGAGCCGATTAGGGCAGTTCAAATGATTATACACTTGAAAATACAAAATAAAAGTATGAAAATCAAAACTAAAAGACCAATGAATTAAGGAAATAAGACAGAAATAATTTAACTGATAGAACTCGTATGAAATGCTGAGATATTTGCAAAACTCCGGACCACAGGTGTATGAAGTGGGGAACGAACACGCGCTGTTCTCCTTACCGGGGAGCAGCGCATTTCACCACTGCACCATCCGGGTCTATCGCTTTGCATGTATCTTAGCTAGTTCTATCGATCTTTTTTGCCATCAGCAATCACCCGTCAACGGGGTTGATCTGGGGAGCCAATATCGGCATTGAACCCAGTTAAGCTGAGGCCTCGTTATAATCACAATCTTAACTCTTTTATTTACTGCCTTTTTCTTTTTAATGGCAGGGTATGTTGTGAAATATAACTCATATGAAATGCTGAGATATTTAACTGATAGACTTCTCAAGTAAACTAATGTATATTTTTATTCATTCTTATTTTCTTTTATTCGCCCGTCTTTAAGTCTACTGCTTGGATCTCAGCACTTCTCATATTCGATTCGTTTCCTCTTATCCATTGTCGACGAAGATCTTCCAACTCCTCACATGTGGTTTCGGTTGCTGCTTGAGGATTTTCGTTTCATCTTGAATGTCGTGAGAATGCTGGTCGAGTGATTCTTCCTGGAGTCCAGAGATAGCCGGGCTGGAGCGTCGCCAATTGGATTGCAGAGAGTGAATTTTTTCCAGACAAGTTCGGTACCAGTTTTCAGAGTTTTCCGACCCCGGGGAGATGAGAAGTTTGGTTGGAGCGAGGCAAAATCGAGCAAGCACCATGCTCGTGATGACGAGCACCACTATCACTGTGCTATCCGCTCCTCGAACTGATATATATGTAATCTTAAAAGTAATATTAAAACAAGGAGTGAAACGGAACAAAACTAAGAACTATTTAAGTTAATATAATAAACATATGATAGAAAAAACTGGAGAACACTCATTTCATAAAGAATGCACCAAAAGAGTAAGTTAAATAAAGAGGCTAAAAAAAATGAAAAAACATTTTAAAAATATGAACATGCTTAAATGCTTATGGTAATAAAAAAAAAACCGCAATGAAGGTTTGAAGGCCTAAGCTCAAATCGACTTCTTTGTTGGCTCAGGCTTAAACTTTCTAGAACCCGGAATAAAGAAGTTTAAAAAAATCTATACAGAATCTTCCTAAGTGAACCTGTTCATTTTTTATAAGAAGCCACTAATAGGTGTTTTTTCTCTAGCTTCAGTAACTTTTTACAACAGAAATCAGCACCTGTTGATAGCAGATATCATCAGTGTAGGCTGAGCAAGGAATATTGTTCTCGGATGCTTGCTCCCCGAACGCCGTGAATTTTGACTCATCTCTCTGAATTGCTCTAGAATTAATATACATGTAAAAACTACTCTCCGCATTCTCTACTAATGCTGTATGAAGAAAAACGAAAGCGCTGTGGTAGAGATGTTCTTCCACAACACGTGCTTGACCTCTAGCCTGAACCAGAACTAACCCAAGCAGACCCGTTTTCGCTAGCATTTGCCCTTACTGCTAGCATACTTGGCAGAGAGGAACAGTTAAGGGTCCCCGAGGAACCCATGTGGCGAAGAAGACATGGGGACATCCTGGCACAGCTAAACCACTTGACTATTCAACAACACTCAGGAAGAAGACCAAAATCCTTAAGCATCAATCGAATCCATACGCGAATTGTTTCAAGACCAAAATTTTCTTGGATTATTTATTAAGGCAGTGCGAGGTTGATAAAAAAGTTTGTTCGACCGACGTTTTGACGCCGTCTTCTTCAGAGTAGGACTGATCGAGTCGATGGCCCACAGCTGCTCGTTGTCGTATTGAGTGGGGCACTGGAGAAGCACCACTCGAATGGTTCACTTCGCTCAGCGGTGGGGTGCTGATTGATTGGCGCCATCCAATATGATCTACTTTGAATACGGATCCTGCAGTATTCGGCGTTGTATTATCTAGCAAATAGCGAATTAATATTTTTCAAACCGACTGTCATTTAATCTCGGCCTAAAGTAGATACTATTAGAGCCGGCAATCCATCAAAACCCATTTTGTATAAAAGTAGACCAGCTAGTGAAGTGAACAATTCGAGTGCTTCTCTCTGCAATGGATTCGGCTCGAAGCGACAGTGGACAACCACGTCGCGACAACGACCGGCTATGGACCAACGACTCAGATCAATCTGGCACTGAAGAAGATTAAGAGGCCGAAACGTTACCCGAACAAACTTTTTATCGCCCTCGTACTACCTTATTAATCCAAGAAGATATTAACTATTAATACCAAGGCTAAATGATGATGGGTTTAAAAAATGTTCAAAGACTTTTGTGAACAATACGCCAGCAACAGCAAAAGAACCAAAAGCTAAGTAGCAAGAAATACTGGTTCACTACCTCTCCTCTCGCCTCTCACACACAGAAGCGGCACTTGCAAAAAAAATGCATCGAACAGCCACCGGTGTGTTCACAGGGAAGGAGCAAAAGGAAGAATTCCTGAAATTGGCTCGGCAAATAGCCATTTTCAATTGATACGAAGCTGTAGCTCCACCGGAAAGCTGTAGAGAGAAAATTCTTGAACTTGATACTTGAACGGCCCGTCCTCACCGGTAGTGCGGACTCCAGCATAATTACCATTTTTCGAAGAATTGCTGGTCAAGCCATTGTGGTTCTCTTAAATCGCGAGGTCAGCCTGGCCAAAGTCTGCCCCAGGTCTTCCCTACCACGGGCGGTCGGAGCCTTTGTGGATCAGAGAGAGATTCGCCACAATGCGACTTCGATACCAGGAAGGTGGCGAATCCTGGTATTGGTTTACTTTTAGCTAAGCTTCCTGATTCAAACGCTGGTCTCCTTCTCAGCTTAGGAGACCCTGCCAGGGAACGAATCCTCCCGCTGTACATCGCAGTCCGAGACCCAGGAACACCTCCCAGCCACGATGAGGCGGCAAACCGTTGAGAGGGTAGAGTAGAGAAAAAATGGAGCATCCAAACAATAATTCCGATGAGAACAGGGTTTCGTTTATCCTGCTTTTCATTTGCAATGAAATAAGTGCAACTATTAAACGTTGCTAGGGCGCATCTGGCACAGTGGTCAGAGGCACTCTGCAACAAACGCGGAATCGATCCACGCGCCCATGGCCCACCAAGCCTCTCATCCCTTCAGGGTTGGCAAATTGTTATCAGACTTGTCTGAGAGGATAGCAGCACTGGCTCACTCCATACATCGGTAGGCCACCGTGAGTCATTGTAAAGGCCAGATATGCATTCAACCACCTTCAAACGATGCTTAATAACGCGAGGTGTTATTGTTCTTTGTTCACGATTAAGCTGACGTTTCGGCGAATTTCGCCTTCTTCAGAGCCGCTTTCTAT